ATGATCTGCTGGGCAAGCAACGCATGCAATATATAGGTTTTCAGAGTTTTAGCACCAATTTTTCAGATACCATCACCGCTGGGGTGGTGCCGTTGGAAAGTAATATCCGAAGTTATTACGTGGTCGGTTTGAACACCTGCGATGGCCTGGGAAGGTTGGCTGCGCGTCTGCTGGGAAATCCGGTCGCGTTCTCGACGCTCCCCGTCACGACTTACGACGCATTTCTTCGAGCGTTGAACACCTTATCACGGGTACTATTCGTCAATGCAGTTGCTACTAAAAATCATCTTAAAACCGAAATACCATTCATAGAAACGAGCGTAATTTGCTATTAATTTGCTATTCTAAAGATCATCTGGATTATATCCAAAAAACTTGTTCATTTAATTCACCGTATACCCTTCCTATCTCAGTATTCTCAGGCACAAGATGAATAGAAAGATTTTGTTAGAACATTGAAAACACGACTGAGCATATGCGTGATCCGCAGCATATCCTGGGATGAAAATCTTTCTCTTGCTTCCAAGCATTTTATCTTATGCACTATTTTTGTATAATATTCAATATGCTTGAGGGATCGAATGTTTTTCTTCTTATCTCATTTTAATCGTATTAATCTTCGTTCTATCTGTGATTTAGTTTCACTTTATTTATCCATTGATGTATTCATTCATTCAACGCTTTGGTCATTCATCCTTAAAGCACTACATTCCTTCAAGACATGAGCAGCAGCTTCAGGTGTTCTTTTCTCCCCCACAAGATAAGCTTCATCTCTTGAAATTCAGGCAATATGGACTCGTGATTAAATCAGAAAATCAGCTACCTACGGCTTGGTCTTCTGCCGCCTTCCATGGGCCATCTGGAAACGGAAAAGATACCATCAAAATGAAAGGAGTCAAAAACAGCTGGGCTGTTCAAGAAGGATGGGAATAATGGTTTAAAGAAGAACTATGACTCAATCTGTCTGCTCTCCAAGTCATAATGCTCACTGAGGGCATTACTAATGAACAATCAGGAGAACAAGTAGGATTCCGATGGAGTTACAGTGCAACGTATGATATCTTTACCTCAAGTCATCTCCTCGACGTATGAGGAATTTCATGCTTCCATTGTGCAAAGCTTTCGCCAATTACGAAGATGCTTTCGACACTATTGATTACGGCACAGTGTGGTCCATACTGACAGTACCAGACAACGACAATCGTTAAATCAACCTGCTGAGGAAGCGGAACTTGGCTGTTTCACAAACATCACGCTGTGCGACACCCTCTCTGGATTGCAGTAGAGAAGGGCGCGAAACCATTCACCCCCTCACCCCTAAACTCGTCGCCTCCTGTTTGGAAATAGTGCTGAGGAAGATGAGCCGGAAGGGTAGAATCAACATTACTGGTGAATAGTCTGCCACTCTCTGAGCACTGATGAAGTTGGACTCTGCAAAAACCACCAGTCAGCTACACGCCACAATTTTGGTCTGTAGGAGAAACTGCTTACAAGCGAAGTATTCTCAAATTTTCGAGTTTCAGACTTTCTTAGTCTCTCATGCCATCAACGCTGTGAGCAGCCTGCAGGAACGGACAGTCATGTAGCCGAGTGAGTTCCGAACTCGCTCTCAAAACGTTGCATGTATTACTCGGTCATTTCACTCGCCCTGCAAACTTTGAGAGCAATAAACTAGTTACGTATGTGAAGAGCACATGTGTATGTATGCAATTCCTGCATTCGATATAAGACGTACTGACCGGTGATGCAGAGACCACTAGCGTATCCTGATCTCCAGGAGTGAAGGATTCGACGAATTTGGTTATTCT